TGGTGAGAGTCAAGGTTAGCTGGGTGTTAGTCCTCGGCGAGTTGCTTAACCCGCCGAGTGGCTAGCGTTGGACTCGGCGTGTCTCTCCCGTCGAGTCACGGTTGTGCTGTCAGGCTGAGTTGTTCACTGAGCCAGGTCACGCACACGTGTCCCCGTGCTACGAGGTTGGGCTAAATCACCCTCCATCAATATATATATATATATAATATCCGTTACTTATGACATCATAGATTAACCTATTTGACCTGGAATGCTAGATCATTGGCCTATATAGCTAGCATCTAGATATCGAAATGGTTTCATTTTCAAATTGGTTTTAAATTTTGCATTTCATTTATACCATTGATAAAATAATTATTGTTTATCATACTTATTTTTGTTTATATTATTAGTATATAATATTATAGATGTGCCCAAAATTGTTTCATATTTTTTTGTATTATTCTATTTAAAAAATATTTTTAATTATACATCATGGATTAACCTTTTTGACCTGAAAAAGGTTGAACCACTAACCCACCCCCTAGATAAGAAGATGGTTTAATTTCTCATCGGTTTTAAGTTGTATATTTGATGTCTACCATTAATAAAATTATTTATATTTTATCATACTTATTTTTAATATGACAAATATATAATAATAGAAACATGTCTATTTTTTTTTTCAAATTTTTTTTCTATATTTTTTGTATTTTTATATTTATAAATTTATAAATTTATATTATTTATTTATGACATTATGAAATTATCCATTTGACCCAAATGGTTGAACCATGGTTTTAAAAAATGACTCGAAAATGGAACCGTTCTGGCCCCCAACTTCCAGGTCGACGGTCCGACCGTCTGGTTCGAATAGATGGTCCATTTTGACAAAAAAAATCAAAAATAAAAGATGACCAAAAATCGTTGAAACGGGTCGACAGTTCGATTGCTCGAGCCAATGGATTGTTGACTTTTCAATTATTTTTGGCCAAGGATTGGGTTTGGGGTAAAACGGAACCGGTTGCCTAGACAGTTCCCGGGCGGAATAGTTCGACCGCTCGGGTCAATGGCAGTTCGAAAACCATGGGTTTAACTACTTGCCCACCACCTAGATGAAAAAATATGATTTCATTTCTATGTTTATTTTAAAAATATAAAATTTCATTCTATTAATACTTATTGTGTCTGGATTTATTAGTGGAATTTAATGATGATAAACAAAAGTATAAATGTTGGATTCAATAAGAGATAATGTGATTAATTTAATGACTTAAATGTTAGACTTAATGGGAGGTAATTGAATATACTCTATGGTATTCTTTTAATTACATTTTCTGTCATTTCAATAGTGATGAAATAAATTCAAGAGGGGTATTTTAGTTAAGAAAATTTTCAGAAGCCAATACCTCCTCATTCACACTTATATATATATAGATAGATAGATAGATAGATAAATAGATAGATAGATAGATAAATAGAGATTCTTGCCAACTCCAAAGCAAAGGGCACCATCTTCATAATTCATGTTGAAAATGAATATATATATATTGAAGTGATGCATGTTTCTTTCACTTTGCCAAAACCCGTATTGATATTGGAGTTAGAATGGTCTTATTAACCTTATTGTCCCAAATTAGGATTGTCAATGGATCAGATATTACTCCAATATGAGTTCATTATAAATAGATCAGGTTCAATCTAATCCAATAAATATTTTGGATTGGATTGGTCCAATTCAATGTCTTAATGGGTAGATCCAACTTGATCAAATTGGCCATAAAATAAGCTTACTTAACCAAGGGTATCTAAAAGAGGACTTAGGTCCTAAGTAGACCTGTTCATGAACATGCTTTGTTTCAGACTTGGGGCATGTTCGTTTCCTCTTAATTCTTATCTCTTAAGAGGAATCTTTTAATTTTAAGAGAAAAATGGTTGCTCGTTTCCTCTTATCTCTTATCTCTTAAAGTGCAATCATACAACTTTTTGTTTTTCAATGATACTCCAAAAAACACAAACAAAAACTCTCATATATGGGGTCAAAATAGATATTTGATAATTTTCAGAATTCATAATTTAGAACAATATTTTTTGCATTTAGAGTTCAAAGGAAAGAAAAGTTCACCAATACAAATATACCTCTTAATGTAATTATTGCACTTTCAGATGTCAGACTTCGAAGCAAACGAATAGGCCCTTGGGCTTTGGGTTGGACTCATTCAAAATTTGGAAAAAGCTATGCTCGAGCCTAGTCCACGAACAACTCTAGGCCAAAGTCAAATACTTGGGGGGTCATGGGGACACATGACCCTGATGGGTCTAGAGGTCCTAACAACAGGAAACCTGGCTTGGTGGGCATTCAATTATAAAAGATTAATAACCTTTTGAAGTATATTCAAATAGGAGAAAAAATGTTTTCATTGATATTTTTATTAAGTAACCATCAATAATGGAATAAACAAAGTGTAATTAGCCCCATGCCCAATGTTTTTTCTTACAAACTATTAGTGGGGATCCATCTATTAGGGCTGTTCACGGGTTGGATTGGGTCGGTTTATTGACATTTTTCTAACCGACCTGACCTGGTCGGTTTACCTAGAAATGAAACCAAAACCGCCCCTGTACTAAGTAAAACCGACCTGGTCAGTTTGAGTCGGTTTGGGTTAGTTTGGATCAGTTTAGGTCGGTTTTATGAATGATTCTCTCGGTGTGAATGGTAAAGGATTCAAGTCTAAGAAGTGAAGGCCAGATGCCTGAAAATTAAAAATGATTTGATGGATTAAAGCTGAAATTTTATATATAATATGTATATTTCCGAAATAAAGCTAATATATATATATATAATATCTGAAATATATTATATATATAACATGTATATATAAGTCGGTTTAAAACCGAAACTGAACCGAACCATCAGTTTATGTTTTTTTTGTAATCCGAAACTGATCAGTACTAAAGAAAAAGCGGCCAACTCAGGTTGGACTGGAACGGGTTGGTCGGTTTGTGTCTTGTTATGAACAACCCCACCATCTATGGGTTTCAGAAAATGTTTATAGATTTGGATTTTGATATGGCTTGGAAAAGGGAGAAATTCATGGGCCAGAGGTTCAACTAGAGATCGAATCATGATGATGTATATGTGTGTAGTAATATAATATAATATAAGTATATAACATGGTATATATAATAATTATATAATATTGCTTATATGCATATATTCAAAATGTATAATTAACATGTATCTTTTTATTTTAGTTTCAATTTTGTATATTAAAATTAAGATTTGAGGTTAAAAAGGTGTTTTTTTTTGGGAAAAATAACATTAATTTAAAAAAGTTTTTCAAAATAAAAAACCACCCTAATCAAACATATAAGCACAAATATATAGTATCTAAAAGTTTGCATTTATATTTAAAAAATAAAAAATGACTGATTTTCTAAAATTAGGACCGATTCACCAATTTTCTGATTGGACTGAGTCAACTGTTTTAGGCAGTTTTTTTTTTGACTTATGATTTGTAAGGGATGACGGAATTGAGCGAGACCGGATCTACTCCTCACACATAGCGGTTCATAGATACATCTCTCCATGTACTCCAGAATATCTTCAGTACTTGTGTGTTATTATTTACAGGAAATGTTTCCTATGCACGGTGGGATGTGCTGCGAGGTCGTTGTGAGGCGCCCAGATCTCAATTCGAACTGGGCAGGGATTAGTCATGATTCTCACCGATTGGTCCGGCCTGATTTTCTAAACAGTGAATCTCATTAAAGCGAAATTGAAGCCAAAGGAGCCCTTTGACATCTCCTGATTTTTTTTACCTTTTTTTAGTCATGAAACAAAGAGGGTAAAGGGTTGGGGTGGTCCCTGCTCCAGTGCTCCCTACTCCCTCCCTCCACGACCCAATTCACACTTCCTGCAGGCTGCAGCGATGCAATCATAAGTCGTCCTTGGTGGCGCACTCTTGCACCAACCCTGAAACAAAGTTCCACAAAAGGCCACAATTTTCTTCATCTCTTGTTCTCTCTCCTCCCCTATCCTCAATCACCCCACTGATTTCCGATTCCTCCCACCCATTTCATCCGATCATGGTCCTTCCATCGCTGAATCCCAGTTCTAATTCCATCTGCCACGAAATTCTCGAACTTCATAAACCCTGATTTTGGATTCCCTTTGGATTCGAATTTCTTAGTTTGGACCTTAAATCCGAGCTTTCACATGTTGTCTTGGTGAGATCTCGAATTCAGAAGACTGTAAAAGGAGTCCCATTTTTATTACTTTTGGTAAGATTTCGCCCTCTTAAAGCTTTATCTCATAAAATGTTTCTTTTAAGACTTATTGGATATGGTTTATTAGGATTATCTGCTTTCTTCTCCTTTCAATTTCTCTCCCTTTCTTTATTTTATTTTATCTTCAAATTACGTCTGTTAATGGATAATTCGGAAAATGGGTTGGCTCCTTTTCATTGATATTCAGTTTACACGACACTAGATACACGGACAGACTTCATTATCTACTATACAATTAAGCTATATAGTTTTTTTTATTTACTCAAAGACATATAGCTTTGTTGGAAGAGACGAAAAAAATGAACGAAAATGAGTTTTTGCATCAAAAGTCGCATTTGGGGAACTATAGGCATTATAGTTCTGCATAGATGCTTCTTTTGGTGCGCATCACTAGATCGATATGCCTGCTGCTTCTCAAGTTGCAGTTACAATGTATGATTCCAGGGGAAAAATACTTGGAAATCGATTCCAGAGTGAGTGGCATTTTTGCCCTCTCATTATCAGATTTGATTGAAATATAGGTCAGAGTTGAAGAAGGAAGGTACAAGGGGCATTGAAAGGGCTATCTAGAATTTTAAACCGTCGGGGGAAGGGGGGGGG